AGAGCGTTTCCCAGACCCATCAGAATCCTTCAGAGGGGTGTGAATTAGCGGTGGGTTGGTGGTTTACTGTCTCTTGTGGTTAACACTAATAGACACGCATTCCTCTGAAGATGCTTTTTGGCAAGCACATGTATGGCTGAAAGATGTCTAGTAGTGGGAGAATGTGGGAGCTCTGATTTCAAACCAGGATGGTCTGATAAAGCATCTAGAAGTGGATCCTTGTACCGGCTGTGTGCTCTGTGACACTAACTCCTCTGCTCCACGCAGTGCTGTGCAGTCTGGTGTCTGTGTTATTGCTCTTAACCACAGCTGTCCAGTCACTGGTTTGCTTCCAGATAACCAGTTTGGTGTGAGAACTCTGCTGAAACTCGTCCTTGCCAGCTGTCTGTCTGTTTGGTGCATGCCTAAGTGTTCCCTGTACGTTTTCTGTCTTGCAGCATCTGGAGAGGGCCAAATGTGAACTGCGTTGACAGTACTGGATACACTCCACTGCACCATGCTGCTTTGAATGGTCATAAGTGAGTCATCTTATAATGCCTTTGATCATAGTATCCTCTATGTGCTTTACAAGTTACGGTTTCTGTGTAATTCATTCACCAATCTAACACAGGTTCCACTGGAAACGCGGCGATGGTGCAGCACTACACCATCTTCAGGACAAAAAGTGAAGAGCATCAGTGCAGTGAAGCTAGAGTGGCATTGGCTGCTGCACAGGATCACAGAATCTTAGAATGGTCTGGGTTGGAAGGGACCTTAAAGCTCATCCAGTTCCAACCCCCCTGCCAGCAGCAGGGACACCTTCCACTAGACCAGGTTGCTCAAAGCCTCATCCAGCCTGGCCTTCAACACTTCCAGGGAGGGGGCATCTACAACTTCCTTGGGCAACCTGTTCCAGTGTCTGACCACCCTCACAGTGAAGAACTTCTTCCTAATATCTAATCTAAACCTCCCCTCTTTCAGCTTAAACCCATTTCCCCTTGTTTTGTCATTAACTGCCCTTATGAAAAGTCCCTCCCCAGCTTTCTTGTAGCCCCTTCAGGTACTGGGAGGCCGCTATAAGATCTCCCTGGAGCCTTCTCTTCTCCAGGCTGAACAGCCCCAACTCTTTCAGCCTGTCTTCATAGGGGAGGTGCTCCAGTCCTCTCCTATGAAGGATGATCATACATCTCTAAAAATTTGGCAAAACACTGAGGTTTTCAACCACCCTTTTATTTATAAGTAATTTGGATAAGATATAAGAACATATTAAAGGTGGCTTCTCCAGTAACAGTCCTCTGCAGTCTGTCTGGTGTCCAATGTGTTGCTGTGCCTACACCACTTAAAATTTGCTTTCGTGCATATTACATTTTTAAGTAACTCCAGTCTTCAGTGTGGTAACTCTTGCATTGTTCATGGCTACTTAAGATACTGAAAAATTGATAGACTTAAAATCTTTATTCATCTTCATTGGGCTGGTGCAATTCACTTTTCACCACAGTGGCTTGCAAATAACTTCAGTCCCTATTCAGCTCCATTAGTAGGAAGGTAACATAGATCTTTCCTGAGCTCATCTCAGCAGTCTTTGTTTTTTTTTTTTTTTCCCCCTTGTGCAGAATTTAATAGGAATGCTTTAAAATTACATTTCAAGATGATCTCTGAAATACTTGTGTTCAGATTAACTTTTGGTAAAATACTGCAATATGTGAGCTGTGAAACAAGGACTGAATATCTTATAGACTCACATTTCCTTCTCTTGCAGGGATGTTGTGGAAGTTCTGCTGAGGAACGATGCACTGACCAACGTAGCAGACTGTAAAGGCTGTTACCCTCTTCACCTGGCAGCTTGGAAAGGAGATGCCGACATAGTGAAGCTCCTCATCCACCAAGGACCTTCTCATACTAAAGTGAATGAGCAGGTCTGCGTGTTTTTCTCTAATAATATCATTGAATCGCTTCCCTTGGATGGAGAGGGACTACTTCAGCTGACTCCTGACCCTTCCCAGATAGTAGCAATGGTTGTAAAGTCCTACTTGCCAATGGGATAGGAAGGGCACTGCCTAAAGCAATACCTCCAGTTCTGAGTTAGTGGTTGAATGAGTAAGGTCTATATGTTCATATACAGATATATAAGTGAGAACCACTCAACACCTAGGAATTGGTCTCCTGCTTTCATACTGGGCTTCTAAAACTAACCTGTAGTTTTTCCTTGCAGTTGCTGGATAGCTGAGAAGGTTTCTAGTTCTGTCAAAGGATACATTGGCTCCCTTCTTTGGGAACTAATCAAAGCAGCTTTGTTTAGTCTTTGTTTGGCCATGCTCTCTTAGCTCCTCTCCTGGCTTGTCTCTAGCGCTTGCTCCAGTTAACTAATTTGTAAGTTGTGAGATAATTTTAGCCCTATTTGCCCCCAGATAAATCCCTAGCTTAATCTTAAAGAATTATTTTCTCAGTCAGGCAAGAAAAAAAACAATCTAGTGGATTTCTTGCCTTTGCCAAGCTGATAGTCTTTGGGCTGGGATGCTGAGAGATTGATTTGGTATGAGACAGCTATTCTGTACAGCAACTGCTGTGTCTGCCTTGGAGGGCTGGCTCCCATGTAATTTCCCTGTGGAATTCAGCAGGTATCTTAAAATTCCAGGGACCTTCTGAAATGCTACTGCTGGAAGACCTAAATATTTCTTTTGTTTAAGAGTTTTGGATAAGGGAACTGATTTATTGAGTGAGGCCAGCTGAGCAGTGTTACCAAAATACTTATGGCTGAGTGAGCTGGGGCAGACATGCAGTAACAGATTCAAATCAGACTGTTAAAGCTACAGTAGCACTTGGTTGTCCTGTCCCTGAGGCAGGAATATCTAATGTCCCTGTGAATCAACTCCTAAAGCACTTGGGTTTTCATCCAGGAGGAGAGGAGTAAACCATAAGTTTGTCTGCTTTCGTACCAGAAGGCTAAAAATATATATATTCATTCAGAAGTTATTTCACAAGTAGGTCAGATGAGCTCATGACTCAAATTTAGCAAAATCTGTCAAAGTCAAGATGAGCAGCTGGGAACTGTGAGTTTCTGCTGCTTAATTTTGACCTGCTGTGTATACTTCTCAGAAGCCAAGGAGCAAACTCCCTTCAGAGTTAGGTTTAGGAGTCTTAATCCTGCTTCCAGCCATACTTTGAGGGGACCAAAGTGCCATGCTTGAGTTTTCTGTTCCTCAGTGTGAGATGGCTAACTCAGTGCACAAGGCTGCTCCAAGGCTGAATGGTTGCTTCTAAAGCATCACAAAATGAAAAATACAGTGATAACACTATTCACTACCACTCCTCAATGGAGCAGAAATAACCAAGAGTGTATGTTTTAAGTTTTGTTGATAATTTTCCAGTTTGGGGCTGTGCTTAATAATGTCTTCACGCACAGCTGCAGGCATTCAGTCTGTTTAAATAGATTTGAGAAGTGTAGTTAGATGTTTACAATCAATCTGATAAGAATTGACTGAGGAACCCTGAGTGTAAACTGTTGTGCTCTGAGTAGGACAGGTATAGGGGAAACCTTTGCAAAATATTAAAAGCTTAGTGTAATCCTTCCGGGTAATGTTTCATTGATGTCTGTTTAGTAGGAACCTTTTTAAATGAGAAAAGTCAGCTGAATAGCCTGTGCTGCTTGTGTTTGGAGTCTTGAAAATGAAATGCACAGTGGTTCAGGTTACAGGAATCGGCAGCTGGAATGGCTTCTGCTGTTAATAGCTTTGACTGGAACAAGATGCTGTGTTCTGTCATTTCCACCCCTTGGGAGTCACCCATTGCTTTGTTGCTATATCTCACCCATTTCATGATCACATTTTTTTTTTCTTTTTCCTCTTCCTTTTTGTAGAATGCTCTTGAGATCAAAGAACTCAAAAAGTACGGCCCCTTTGACCCATATATCAATGCCAAGGTGTGTACTTTGCTGTCAGCATTTCACTGCATCACTACTCCAAGCTGCACTCGCGTGCTTCCAGGTGCAATGTCATCCAGTTGCAGTTCTACCTGTTCAGTTTGCAGCTGCTTGGGGGAAAAGTAAAATGCGACCATTTATTTACTGTGGGTTTCTTTCTTCAAAGCAGTTATAGAAACATTATTTAAGGGAAGCTTTTCCTTGCTTTCCTGGGGGCTCCATCATTGCTTAGCCTTGTAGGACTCACGGTGATGGTCAGTTTGCTTGATTTGGCTGGATGACTTCCGAAAGGTAATGTTATTTCAATTAAAATGCTTTAGGTTTTGTTTTGTGTGCTAATGTTGCTGAGAAATGCAAAGAGAAGGAATTTTTTAAAATTTTTTTTCCTGCTTAAACATGGATGCATTTTCTCTGTGGGCTGTTTGGAGTGAATTTTCCTGCCTTTTCTCCTACAAAGTGCATAATGCTGTATTTGTCGTTTGAATGGACAGTTAATTCTTTTGGTGGTGGTGGGGAGAAGGGAAGGCAGTAATGTTCATGCCTCCTTTTCCCCAAGTCCTTCATGTCCTGCTTATTGCATCAGTCTCTCTTTTTTGATGTGAAGTCTGTCGTGTCGTCTGACCCTTCAGCCCTAGTCTTCTGTTCCTGTTTTCTTGCCTGTTTTGCTCCTCTCTTGCTTTTAGTTGTTCTCGAGCTACAAAAAGGCATGACATCAGCACTTGGGATGCACTGAGGCTGAGCAATTAAGGAAGCTGATAAGAAAGTTCCTGGTGGTGTCTTCTCAGACCCCATTTTTTCATTTTTATTTCTAGTGAAGCTGCAGGCCAGCCATGGCATAATAGTCTGCTGATCTATCATGAGATACTTCTGCTGTAAACCACCACACCATGCTTGCTTCCAGACAAATTATTTGGGATCCAGCCATCCGTGGCAGATTTCTGTCGCTCAAAGTTTAGTTAAAACTCTCACTCTGCTTGATCTGCAGTACCTTAAAAACATACATTCAAAATCCCTGAGCTTGCTAACTGCTTGGAGAATTACGTTTGGTTTTTGCAGACTTCTATTTCAGGAAATACTCCAGTACATAACTCTTTAAGCACAAATATATTTACATGAAACTCATCTGTATCGGTGACTTTTACAAAAATCCAGATGGGAATTTTTCAGCATCAAATGTCTTTGGGGGAAACATGTCAGTCGAGCAGTTTAACTGCTTGAAAGGAGCTTTCTAAAACTGTCAGTAACAGAGCAAAATCTTGCACACTCCAGCATTAAAATGTGGAAGGAAGAAGGAATATAAAGATGAAGTTGAGCTCGCTTTCTTGTGGATTTTTGTTTAAATATTCTATTTTGGATTTTATCTTTTGGACAAGAGCATTATTTTAAATTCTCAGTTCAGTTTTCAAGATGGCTGGAGTGCTCTCAAGAACAAGGCTAATACACATGATTAATACACAGGCTGTTAGGTTCATCACAAGTTCTGCCCAGCTTTCTACCAGTTTCTGACCAAGTTTGATGAAGAACATGCCAAGTTGTACCTGTCATGCAAACCTTGATGTTTTCTCAATAGCCTGGCTGCAGGTGGGAGAACCAAAAAAAGTCCAGGTGCAAAGTGTAAGAGTCTTTGCTTAGTTGGTGCTTGAGGATGAGGATGAGATGTTATATAAATTATCAAAGCAAAATGTTTCATCTTTCCAAACATTTTGGATATTTAGAAGAAGGGGAAAGCACTTATATATGGCTGGACTACAATTTAATATCGTGTTGAGGAAGAGATAAGAAAGTCAGAAGCTTCTTGCTCTCCCAAAAGTTAAAGAAATAGTTAACAGCTTCTTTTTATGTCCCTTCCTTTTCAACATCTTTTCTTCAATAGGAGGTCCATGCATTATGTCTGTTCCAGGCCTGAAGGACTTCTGAAAATCAAATGATAGAAGCAAAGTTAAGAGATGGAGCAGCAACTTTGCTTCAGTAACTCCTGCAACCTTGAATTTGGTTCTTTAATTTGTATGAAGGAACCAACCAGTCGAGCAGAGCCAAAGTAGAAAAAGCTGTCACATAGCTCAGGTTTGTGCACTGCACAAACTAGCTTTGTCTTTTTTAATTGGAAGCAAATGAATCATGCAGATTGGATTTAAAGTGCTATAAATCTAAATGAGCTGCTGAGAAAAGTGGAAGCCTACCATCTGGAGCCTGCAAATGAAACTGGGCAGCAAACCTACCCGCAGAGCTCTCCAAAGCTTGTTGGACATATGGAGATCTTTTTTTTATTATTATTTTTTGAATTTTATTTTTTTTAATCTGAAATGTGTTTGGCATTGTTGGGCACCTGTAGGAAGGAAGGAGACCTGTTTGTCCTTACTCTGCTCCTGGCAGTGCTGTGTGGGATGCTGATGGGAATTATGTGCATCAAGAGGGAAGGAGATGATACCACTGACCAGGCAGCTCCAGCCAACTCTTGTGGCCTCCTTTGTGCCTGACATTGTGATGTGCCTTGAGTGTCACCTCCTGGTGAAGTTTGGATTTTGCTTAATGGTTTTTTTTTTCCCTCTTTCATTTCAACCTTTAACTGCCTTTAACTGAAACTTTGTGAAGCGTGTGCCAGTGGGACATCCAAGTTCTGCGCTTTAGGATCAGATGTGTCACTGGAGCAGCAAAACAGCAGGTTTTTAATAGGGCAAGTGTCCATTAGATGTGCACACACTGACAAAAATCCTGCAAAGGAATCTTAGAAATGGGTTGGATGGGACTGAAGAGTCATGGATTCTCTTTCTGCAGCCCCAAGGCAGGACCAGGTCCTACCGAAACCATTCCTGACCAGTGTTTGTCTAGCAACTTCTGGAAAACCTCTGAGAGGGACAGCTCTATAGTCTCCCTTGTTTATTTATTTATATTCTATATTTGCAATATATTATTTATTAATATTTTATATTTATAGTTTACTTGCCAATTTCAATCTTTGCAGGTTAGAAAGTTAGAAAATTTTCTTTTATTTAAACCAAGTCTCCTTTTCTCAAGGTGTGTTAGGAACAGGGGTGCAGACAGATATACTTGAAGGGGCTGTAGATTCTCCATTTTAGGATCTGATGAGGAGTATAAGGACTATGGGATATGGTATGTAGTTACCGGGGCTTGAAAAATTTGATGGAGCCCATATGAAAGCAGAGACATTTCTGCTTGTGTTCCCATTTTGTGGTCTGTAGGAGGGCATTGTACCAGCCCAGCTTCTCACTCCCAACTGTGAACTGGGGGAGGATGCTGGGATTCCTACAAGAATGCAGCCTCTGGGCCATGCTGAGTGCTCTGTTTTACTAAGAAGAAGTTTTGAAATGTGAGCCCATACGCCTTCTGGCTACTGGAAAAGGCTTTTTCTTTTTCCATCTCTCATAAATATGTACATCTGAGTGCTCGTGCTCATTGTTCAGGCTCTGCTCTGGTTTTTGTGCTTGGGGAGACTATGCAGGGAAGGGAGGCAAACTCTTTTGCCTGGAACAGCTCTGGTGTTTTTGGCTGCTCAAAACTCTCCCAAAATGAAGGCAATAAAGATTTATGCAATAGGGGGAGTTTCCAGTGCACAGTCTGCGATGGGGAAAGACTTGCTGTAATGATTCAAGGGATTTACCACCTGGTGATCTCTGTTGCAGGAGGAAAGTCTGGGGATTTCATCCCAAGTGTCGGAGCCTTGACCTGCTTAAGGAAAATTAGACTAAATTGCAGTGAAGATGGGGGAAGTCTTCAACAATTATGTTATTAAAGGATGTTGTGTTCCCATTTGTGAGCTGTCAGGCAGGTGTTTGGAGTTGCTGTGTGCTTTAAAGCACCCCTGAGGGATACGGTCTCTGTGCCAGGGAGGGATGGGAGGGGGATGTCCTAGCAGTGGAAATCCCTGGTAGCCAGGGCTAGTGTGACATGAGCAGTGCATACCTCCCGTGGCTCTTTGGCAGATATTCCCTGCTCTAGAGGGGCTGGGGTTATTTACTCTTTCTGCAGAAATTGGCAGCAGGTTTCCCTCGTGCTGTGGGGCAGGCTGAGGCCTCGGTCTGGCTGTGTCGTGGGCTCACTGATACCTGGGTTCCCTTCCCTGTCAGATGAGAATAATGCGATTTACCAACCTTTTAAATGCATCGAGACCAGCAGCTTAAGCTGATTGATAGGTGTAATATCTGTAGTTCTCTATCCTCTCCCCTTCTCACTCCATATGTGTATTTTATGTGCAGACTTCTTTATTCTACAGTAACTTCTGTCCACTTGTATGTGCCTTCGTTCACCATGGCTGCCTCTGCCACTCCAAGTATAGAGCCTGTTGTTTGACTTTGAACTTCTGTGCTAACAGCGATGCCATGCTTTCCTTACCTTCTTGAGATCTTACTTCTGCATGTGGCTGGTGCTGCTTCTTGCCTCCTTAGTCTTTGCTTTGATACAAGTCGTAGCTGCAGAGCTTCTCCAAAACTTCTCGCTTCCCTTATGCTTTTCACATGGCTGAAAAATGATGCAAATATCAGATTAAAACAGGTGGGAGTTTGCATGTGTGACTCCTGTGATCCCTAGAATGACTTAACATGTTAATAGGATTAAAGTACTTGTACAACAGAGCGAGTTCTGCAGCGTGGTTGTGAAATGGTGCAAAATATTGACTGCTTCTACAAGCTGGTATCCAAAAAAGCACATGTGCTCTCAAAGCAAAAAGGAAGGTACTTTGATAAAATCTGGTTTCTAAAGTAGTCCTCCTAACTCCATCAAGACAAGAACGTCCTCTGTTGTGTTTTGGGTTTGTTTTTTTAATGGGAACTGTTCTTAAAATGACAAATTTAACCACAATTCTTTCAGCTAGAGTTGAAGTGTGGAACAGTTTGTACTAAGGTATTTTGGGTCAACTTTAGATCAAAGTATTTATTTCTAAAGTCCTTTAACAGAAATCCCCCTGTGTATAACACACAGTAAACTTGAGGTGAATTTAATTTGAGAAAAGGCTCTTTTAAATCTGACCATGTTCCTATTTTGCACCTGCAAGTGAAATGTCTTAGGTTGATTGTCTTTCAATGCTCTGCATTGCTGATTTTTAACCTGACAGATGCTGCATGCATTAATTGGATCTGGCTTTCACTGTGGAGATGTTCTCTTGTTGCTTGGAAATCGCTTTCCATCAGTTGACCTAAGACCTTGACTACAAGGGATCATTAGTGGAGTGATCTAATTGCACTGCTTCCTAATTCA